TTATTAAATTCTTTAAGTTGGAGATGTAACTCATTCTTTTTTTAAAGATCAGTTATTTTAGTAAAAAAAAGCAAATCTTTAAGCTGGAGATGGAACTTATTCTTTATTTAAAGATTAGTTCCTTTACATCGTTTTTGTAGGGAACGTAGGACAACACTTTTTTAGATTCTTTTTGTCAGGTAAAATCTTGTTTAAAGTTGGAGATGGAACTTATTCTTTATTTAAAGATTGGTTCTTTTACTTCGTTTATGTTAGAGGTCGTAAGTCAAATTGTTATTGAATTCTTTAAGTTGGAGATAGAACTCATTCTTTTTTTAAAGATCAGTTATTTTAGTAAAAAAAAGCTAATCTTGTTTAAGCTGGAGATGGAACTTATTCTTTATTTAAAGATTAGTTCCTTTACATCGTTTTTGTAGGGAACGTAGGTCAACACTTTTTTAGATTCTTTTTGTCAGGTCAAATCTTGTTTAAAGTTGGAGATGGAACTTATTCTTTATTTAAAGATTGGTTCTTTTACTTCGTTTATGTTAGAGGTCGTAAGTCAAATTGTTATTGAATTCTTTAAGTTGGATATAGAACTCATTTTTTTTTAAAGATCAGTTATTTTAGTAAAAAAAAGCTAATCTTCTTTAAGCTAGAGATGGAACTTATTCTTTATTTAAAGATTAGTTCCTTTACATCGTTTTTGTAGGGAACGTAGGTCAAAACTTTTTTAGATTCTTTTTGACAGGTCAAATGTTGTTTAAAGTTGGAGATAGAACTTATTCTTTATTATTAAAGATTAGTTCTTTTACTTCGTTTATGTTAGGGGTCGTAAGTCAAATTGTTATTAGATTATATAAACAAACAACAAACTTTTTTAGATTCTATTTGTTAGGGCAAATCTTGTTTAAGTTGGAGATGAAACTAATTCTTTATTTAAAGTTCTTTTAGTTTGTTTTTGTTAGGGGTCGTAAGTCAAATTGTCATTAGTTTTTTAAGTTGGATATGGAACTTATTATTTTTTAAAGATCAGTTCTTTTTTTTTCTTAGGGGTCCTAAATCAATTTTTTTTTAGATTCTTTTTGTCAGCGCAAATATTGTTTAAGTTGGAGATGAAACTAATGCTTTATTTAAGTTGGTTAAGTTGGAAATGAAACTTATTCTTTACTTAAAGTTTAGTTCTTTTTTGTGAAGGGGTCGTGCTTCAAAATTTATTTCAGATTTTTTTATCAGGTCAAATTGTGTTTATTGGGATATTTTTAAAGATCAGTTCTTTTTTTTGTCAGGGGTCGTAAATCAAAACTTTTTTAGATTCCTTTTTACGGTAAATCTTGTTTAAGTTGGAGATGAGACTAATTCTTTATTTAAAGATAAGTTCTTTTAGTTCGTTTTTGTTAGGGGTCGTAAGTCAAATTGTCATTAGTTTTTTTTAAGTTGGATATGAAACTTATTCTTTTTTTAAAGATTAGTTGTTATACTTTGTTTTTGTAGGAATTGTAGGTCAAAACTTTGTTTAGATTCTTTTTGTTAGGGCAAATATGGAACTAATTCCTTATTTAAAGATCAGTTCTTTTAGTTCGTTTTTGTTAGGGGTCATAAGTAATATTATTATTAGATTCTTTAAGTTGGATATGAAACTTATTCTTTTTTAAAAGATCAGTTATTTTACTTCGTTTTTGTAGGGATCATAGGTCAAAATTTTGTTTAAATTATTTTTATCAGGTCAAATTTCAAGTTGGAGATGAAACTAATTCTTTATTTGTTCGCTTTTGGGTAGGTGAACATATTTTTTAAATTCTTTTCGTCGTTGTAGTCTGTTTTAGATAGTGATTATCCTATGGAACCAGGCGCCCAGGAGTTTCCTATAAAACCCTCCTTTTTATTCCTTCCATTTAGACCCATTTTAGTTCAATTTCACAATCTTCAGATTGTTGAATTAAATTAAAATGGTAGATGGATCTTGAAAGTACTTTTTGGATTTTGTCTCGGAACATCGGTAATCCGTGCTAACCCGTTTTTAACGTGGAGCATGTCGTTGCGCACCGGCGCTAATCTATTTGTAACTTAATTATCTGTCGTTCTCCTTTTTTACCCTTCCTATTACCCTAATTCCTTCATTTGGACCTGACATGGACATCTTGGACTTCTTGGAACTTCAGGGTGCGAGTTAATCTTATATGCGAGTATGTATACAACCAGTAAATTTGTTTTTTGCGTGTTTTTGTTTATTTAAATACTTTATCTGTTTTAGGAAATTTTAGGTATATAATATGATAAGGAGGGTGGAGGGTAACTCCGCCAGGTATTTTTATCCTGCCGGTCCCAAGCCCGGATAAAGGAGGAGGGCCCTCACTCTTTTCTATTTTGTTTAGATTGTTTTTGTCGGGTCAAATCTTGTTTATGTTGTAGATGGAACTTAGGTGGTTTTTGTCAGGTTGGAACTTTTTCTTTTTTAAAGATCAGTTCTTTTATTTCCTTTTAGTATAGACTTCCTATTTAGCACCTTGTTTAGGTAGGAAATTGAACGTTTTCATATTTTAAAGATCAGTTCTTTTGGTATAAAGTACATAAGTCAAATCTCTTTTAGGCAGGGTTCCCAGACGTCTTAATTAAGTCTGCATAAGCTCTATTTTATGATTTGGACTTTAACATCAGAAAGAAGTTTTTAAGAAGTTCTTAAGACTTCGAATGCGCCACCACTCTCAAAAAAGAACTCTTGAGGAAACCTTTTCTTTGACTTCGCAGTTAAGCATTTTAAAGAGTCCTACTGTATAAACTTATAAAAAGACTTCTTTAGAATTTCCTGTTTTGGATATAGATTATTAAGGTACTACTAGGGTACTGATGAAAAAATTACATACTGGATCGTTGCTTATTTTGGCATGTCAAGTTTATTTTATTAATTTGTTAAATTGATTTTATTAAAATCATTTTAATAATTTGCTCGTATTCGTCTATTTTAGGAATTGCGATTACTTCGTCTCACTTTTGTTTAAATTCAAGCGTGCTCTTCACCGGCACCGATAGACGGACTGTCTAGCTCTTTTGGAGCTCGTCAGTATCGGGTAGCCGTTTACCTAGGTCTAAGACCGTTTGGTATATGGAGCACGCTCTAAATTCTGCTTCGCCGCTTCTTATATCAAACACAAGCAGTTACAGCGGTAAGAAGAAAGAAATCGCATTAAAATGTCATAAATATGACGTCTCCATGTTGACATCTTAAAGAGTTAATAATATGATTTCAGTAAGAAGTAAGAAAAGAGAATACTCTAAGATATCATATAACTGAAGTCTTATTTATGATACCCTTAGTCGTACAATCAAAAATGCTACTTTTTTGTGATAAAAAATCTCCGCTAGTTGTCTTACTACGACAATATTATTTTTGGTTCAAGCAACTAAAAAATACAACTTTCTCATCTTAATCATTAAAAATTTGTTTATTTGCCCTGAAAAAATCTAAATAGAATATTAAACTTACAATAAAGTGACAGAACCATATTTTTTTATTAACTTTAATAACCTGTATCTTGAAAACAAAGCTTTAGAGCTTACAAGTTCTTATACCTACATTTTTCTTCCTATTTTTGTAAGTTCGATTACAAAATTTTCATGAATAAAATCTGAGAGACACCCTATAAACATGTATACAGGTACAATTTATTATTATATTATTGTCGTGCGGCACGGCAGTGATGACGTTTTTTATCTATTACGTCATTAGCGTTCCCGTAAAAAATAAATTGCAGACACTCTAACGTGCACCTAGTCACTTCGTATATTATTACACACACTTTTACTATGTATATGTATAGAGAATATTTTTTATTTTATGCATTTTTAAAATAAAGATTTTATAGGGTGGCACCCTGTATTTTTTTCAAAATTTTTACTCCTGTTAAAAAAGTGCTAAAAATAATTAAAAACAGTAAAAACCGTATTACTTCCATTTATTGTACAATAAATTAGGTTTTGACATTATTAAAAATACATAGAGAAAAGGATCAATTTACTTGCGGCGGAGACATTCACAGTCACGATACTAGGGGCAAATCACAAATCAGAATTCCAAAATATAGACTCTCCAAAGTGTCGAGAAACTCACTAAACATCAAATTATACAACGTATTATCCTCAAGATGCAAGGCTCTCAACTATGTAAAATTTAAGGCAACCATAAAGGAAACCTTGCTCACTTACTGTTTTATTCTGTAGACGAATATGTCATGAAAATGGGTCTTTCAGACTTTCATCAGCGTTTCTCTCTCAATTAAACTCTGTGATAATATGTATATGTAATGTGTATGCTGTAACTTGTATGTTGTATGCCTTATGTTATTTACATATTTATGTATATATGATATATTTATGTTATATTTATTTTATCTTGACTTGTCAAAAATGTTAAATGTAAACATAATGTGGCCAAATAAATGATTTGATTTGATTTTATTTGAAGAGTTTTATTTAAACTAAAAAAAAACACCTAGGTATTATTTCCCTTTAAGTTAAATTCGTTCATTTTAATTATACTTGGTGGACATTCTATTACTGAAATGTGAGAATTATTTTAAAATAATTAAATTCTTAGGACAATTTATTTCAGCGATTCATAAACTTTCAGTTGGCGTTAACGCTAGCGCTCTCTAAAAATATTTGAAATTGATGATATGTTATAATTTCATTTATTTAAATGTTCTTTATGCACTTTATATTAATAAATTAAACCATTTTGAACTAGAAAATAAACATTTAATCTATTTAAAGAGCGCTAGCTCCAACGCCAACTGAAAGTTTAGGAATCGGCTTTAATAAATTAGTTCCGATCTATTAAAATAGATGGCGAAACTAACTTAAGTTTTAGTAGGTATCCTGTATGTATGCAATAAATATACACTTCTTTGACAATGCATTGCCTACATATAGATTGGGGTTTTGAAACATTTTAAAAATAAAATTTTACAAAGAAATTGAAATAAAACAACTATGGGTACATTTTTAATAATTTAATAAACACTATTTTCTTTAAGTACAAATTGACTTAAAATCGCAAGCTTACAAACTAAAAATAATTATAATTTCACAGCATGGGGTCAGCCTATACAACATAAAAATAATAAACTAAAACTAATTAGGTATTTGGTAAAAAATGTCTGATATGTACAAAGGGGCACTAAAAATAACATGACTAAATATATACAGGATGATAAATAGGATGAGGGGAAAATTTTTAGAATAAATATAGTTAACTTAAAACATAAATAATTTTACAAACAAAACAGTTAAAATGAAGGAGGCCGTTAATTTTTGTAGATAAGAAATACAAAATTATCGCTCCAAAATTGGCTTTTTCTAGCAATGTGATTTGAAAGAGAATAATTTAATAATAAATTATGTACACAGTTTTTGGCATTAAATACAAAATATAGCTAGTGTTAAACTTAAAATCACTAGATTTGTATGAAGTCGTGTGGTAGAAGATGAGGATCTTTTTTGTTTGTAGCTGCATTGGATGCTGTTTTCATCCTCATACACTGAGAAAGTTGGCAGTTTTTCAATGTTTTCTTTCTGTAAAAAATAAAAAACATAATATATTGTGTACCTCGTCGTATAAAGCAACTGAGGCCGGGCCTCACATGTTAAAATTATAATATAATTTGAAATTTTGAATACATTACTTATTTAAATATAAAACGTTTTAAAACTAATTTCCAGCCATTAAAAGTATCAAAATATAGAATAACCATTAAAGTTTAAAATATTCCCTTTAAATTTAGCGCGCACCCCTTCCAACTTTAATTTTAAACGCTTAAATCATTGCCCGACCGCATAATAGGGAAATAGTAATCCCATAAACTTGCGCTTCATATACGTCACACATTGCCGATACAACATAACGCTCCCCACCGCTGCACGGTGCTTCCGGCAAGGCGGGGATAATACACGAATTTTTGTAGACATTGAGGCCCACAAAGTTGGGCTTGTACCACAGTATATGGAAGACAGCAGAGTCAGTCCCGAGATCTGTGCGCCTTATCAGCCGTTGTAAAAGACTGGGCGGGTGTGGAATGTTTTAGTAAACAAAGCTTATTAATTAGATCTATGCTTGTTTATAGTTTCTTATTTCTGTTTAGTCTTTGCCTTGCGTTAAAATGGAAAGTTGTGATAAAAATGCAAGCGTAAAATACATTATTGTGTTGTGAATTCATGTAAAAATAATTCAAATAATTATAAAATATCATTTTTATTTTTATATATTATTATATTAACACACAAATACCTCAGTAAAAATCACAAAAAATATAAATAAAAATATTCATGTTTTTTTATAGTTCAGTGTTATTTATATCTTTGAGTTTCATATACCTACTGTGCTGTACATAATTATTTTGTTGTTGTGCGGTTGTGCCTTTATTAATCTAAAAATAATTATTGTAAGATTGGTAAAAATGAGTAGTACCTCCTGGGTAATGTGAAAACCTTCTGAAGAAATAAATAAAAATCCCACCTCGTCCCGCACTTTTTGTATTATTCTAGCTAAATTTAGAAAATTCTTTTCGTAAAAGAACATATTTTGAAATAATATATTTTTATTATTTAGATTCTGAAGTGCTTCAAAAACGCGAGACTTTGGAAATTAAAAAAAAAATTGCCTGCGGTGCCATATAGCGGTTCATGGGCCCCACCTTCATGAATGGTCACGAGCCGCCACTGCTGTAGACATTAATATATGAACATTATCAAGTTGATAATATCAACGTAATTTGTTATTGTAAGCTTACAATAACAAATTACGTTGATATTATCAACTTGATAATGTTCATATAAAATTTGGACCTAGGTCCAAATTTTCGAAGATCACAGTTAAGGGGGCTTCGTGTACTACTACATCTGCGATCTCCGTTTTCGGCCTTCTTCAATTTTCTCATTTCACAATATATATATATTTTTAGATTTACTTTTAACTGTATTTGACATTTAAGTATTTTTTTTGGTTACTGTTTCTGCTGTTAAAAATACTTTACAATTTAAAATTTGTTTTTTACCATTTTACAAACAAAAATTATTTAACATTAAAGAAATGCCCTTTAAAACATTTATGTAAATTCCAAATACACAACATTGTTTATATTGCAGTTTTGTTTTCCTTATTTTTCGTATATCAAATGTAAAACAATTATAATGATAAAAAAATTATCAGTGCTTCAAAACACCACAAAAGAATGTCCATACTTACGGCCACCTTTGCTGTCATTCGTGTTTAGTAATGTTTGAAGTTTTAACATCGATAATTTTATTCGAACTACTCGTATAAATTTTAATCGCAAATAACTTTTTTATTTGATGTCAGATTTAAACGAATATTAAAGAATATTGTAGAAAAATTAATAAAGAATCGCTCACATTTTAAAAATTTACTAAAAAAATTGACGTACGTTTATAATATATAGGTTTAAACAAAAAGTTTTTTTTTACCATAAGTTTAAGACACTCTGTAGAGTGTTCTAAATTAATTTTTAATTATCAAGTCTCATCTATGCTTAACAGTTTTGTTTTTGGTTCACCTCGATATATTTATTTTTGCGGAAAATATGGATTTATTGCAATGGTCCATCCATAGCCTATGGAGGTGACAAAAGTAAGAACACCTCAAAAGTAACCCATTAATTTACAAAAAAACAATTTGATATCTTTTGAAAGCCGTATGTATCCAAGTATGGGATGATTCAACAAAACTGTTACTGTCAAAAAAATATTGAAAAATTCAATGTTTTTTTTTAAATTCATATTTTCCACAAAAATAAATATATAAATATATATATAAAACAAAACTGTTAAGAATAGACTTGACTTGATAATTAAAACTTAATTTAGAACAATATACGGTTTTGCCACTCTACAGAGTGTCTTAAACTTATTGTAAAAAACATCTTTTTGTTTAAACCTGTATATAATAAACGTACGTCTATTTTTTAGTAAATTTTTAAAATGTAAGCGATTCTCTATTAATTTATCTTCAATAATCTTCAATATTCGTTTAAATCCGAAATCAAATAAAAAAGTTATTTGCGATTGAAATTCATCGAAAATTTGTGTGGATGGTGTGGTGGTGGTGTCAATATACTTGCAAGAAATGGCTCTGTAACTTGGGTACTGAGATAGTGTACTTTAATAACATTGGATTTTTTGGGGCTACACAAAAATACAAGGTTTTAACAACAATTTTACGAATTTTAATATTCCCAATATTAGACATGGAATGCTGCGCATAAAATTGGTAGGTATGTTTCAACTAACTAAATTGTATAAAAAGCCGTGGTAGTCACTTAAATGGTAAGAAGGCGTCCATAAAGTAGATCACACATTTTTTGGAGATTTTAAAGCCCCCCTTTCACCTGTTACAAAGTAAGGGGGGTCACACGTCTCACTAAGATTTTTTTTACTCAAATCAAATTTATTTTATAATTACTCTGATGCTCTTATTTGTAAACCCTTTATAAATTAATTAATTAATTAGTATGTATACTTACTTTTAATCTATTATATTTCCTTTTAATAAAACTGAAGTATTTGAAATAATTTTATAAAGATCATTCATTGAATGACATTCAACCCTTGTTGTTAGGACTTTAAAAATAAAAATATACTTACAATTGCTAAAGTATCATCCCTTTTTCTACAAAACGTCAAATGCAACCCAGTGTAGAAATACTCCTCTATTTTCTTGGTTAAAATAGTTTCGTTGTAAGGAATGTTCAGCAGATGATTCGAGAACGACTTGTTTCTAAATTCCATTGGCTCCTTGATTATGAGTTTGTCAAAAACGCTTATACTATCCGTCGTTTCGCCTTCTATGCTGAATTCTTTCGCCATTTGAAGCGCTAGAATGGCTTTGCGGTTCGCCTCAGGGTTCAGTTCGTCGCCCGGTTTGTATTGGAATAGCGGTTTTGAGGTTGTTGATTGAGGTTTTTCCATAATTTCAGATCTAAATAATAAAAAAAACTAAAAATTTCCGTTACTTTAGGGTCCAAAATTTTGACTTACTCTCCCTCCAAAAGCGTTTTTTCAATCTCCTCCATATTTTTTCCATAGAATTCCTTGACACCAAGATTCTCGAAGAAATACTTGACAGGTGGTATTGAATAGCAACCAGCCAACTCTGTTCTTGGGTAGTGTAAAACAAAAGCTAAACACATTTCTTCGGAGGTAGAATACCCTCCCAGGGTAGGTCGGCTTCTACCTAAGGTAGAATAAGTGCATTCTGTTATAAGACCATCTCCAGGAAGAATAGTAGTGTCTTGTGATAATGTGCGGGATTGTTGATAATTGAAATCATAATGTTCATCCTAAAGTAAAAAAAATATTAATACATTAAAAATATATATTTTTCCAAATATTACCTGTGCTAATGGAGGCAACTCTCTACCACCTCTTATGTGTCGTAATTTTAACTTTCTGCCAGCCAAATGTGAGTGCAACATAACGGAAACCACGTTTATACCATTTTTAGGAAAAATCTTAAAAAAAGCTTAAATTGGTTACCAAAATTACATACATGGAAGTAGACTCATAGTCAACATTTAGTTAAATTCTCACCTCTTTGGTGCATCCAAAACTGCAGTACCCAGCAGTTTTATACTCTTCTTGATACGGAGGTATGAAATGCAAAGTGGAAGGTGCGACTCCAGTTATCAAAATACCACCATCGTTTTCACGGAGTTCGCTGGTGTAGTGAAGTCGTAATCCGGATGTGTCGACTGCCTGTTTCATGGAAGGATTGTCAAAATGAACTTCCAACATGTAGTAGGAGTTTGGCCGACTGGCCAGAGGAAGTCCGACGTGTTTTGGAAAGAATTCGCCTGAAAAATGATAAAGTTGTTGGGTCTTGGAGAGATATCCGAGGACTGCGCCATTTTAAGAAATCATACTTTTAATTCATCTTTATGGCAAAAACAATACAAATGAGTAATATATTGTAAAACAATTACATTAATGTCAAAATATCATTGTTTTAAAGTTTTATCAAGGCATCAATTTATTAAATTATATGGTTATGATTACATAAACATAATGAAAAGCTAAAATTAATAGAAACAGATAACATCATGGTATACCCAAACTATAGTTTTAATCGATATATTTATATATAATAAAGTGTTTTTGTTAAAAAGATTAATTAGTATGCACAAACAAATTACTAAAGCGGGTTATAATGATTGCTAATAATTTAATTTGATGTAGAATTTAAACAAGCAGTTTTTTGTTTTGGGGCAGCAATTCGATATTTATTTTTAGTATTTTGTTATAAATTATACAAGTTTGATTAAAATTTATACAAATAAACAGTGATTAATTATCGATAACAAAAAATTACAATACTGTATTTTTCATATTATAAAAAATAGTCTATAAAGAGAGACTTGATATTAATACTAGTTCAAAAGTTAAATTATTATTAAACTCCTACAGAAATTAAGCCTAAATGTCATCATATCAGTTGATCCTAACCTAAAAATGATGTGACAGAATCTTAAGAAATTATGTAGGAACTTATTGCTTGAAAAAAAAATAGTATATAAAACTCGGCGGCGAAAGCTTATTAATTGCCCCGCAGTGAAATGTATGCTCGGCGATAATATGTTCTTTCTCCACATGGTAAAATGTAGGTAATATTAATTAAAATACCTTGCATTTCTTTATTTTAATAATTTTTTTAAAACAAAAACATACATTTAAATGGCTTTGATAAAAAAATGGAAATAATTTTTTATTGCTATTTCGTTAAACTTGTATATGTATAATATGCATATTTATATAAATTGCATGCATTTCATAAGGGGGTCGTTCAAATTTTAACTGTCTATAAAGCAAAATTTGTTTTCGTAATTTGGAAGTTGTAACTGTAGTTTAAAACTTGAATATAAACACTGAAAAAAATTAAGAAGTTTTGAATACTTATGCTACAAGAAATTTTTTATAAGCATCAATTACTTAAATTTTATTTTATTTGACTTAAATTCATTACATATTAATTGGTGTTGGTCCGGGTTTAAACCTTTGGACCTTTGGATTTTAATTATTAAGGTTCTTTTTCTCAATTTTTTTTTTTATAAAATAATTCTTTATAATAGGAAACCTATTTAACCAGCTACAGATTTTCTTCCATAAGGAAAACTTAACTTAACTGGATTATGGATGTAAAAATCTATCTAGTTACTGAATTTAAAATGGATTGTTCCAAGTAACTGGGGGGGACTATAGAGGGGCAATAGTTTTTTTGTGTAGTTTTCTTACACGAAGAAAGCAGATTTTTTTCAATAAAGTACTTATTGTTATACTATTTAAAAATGATTACTAACCAATCAAGTAAATTAGGGACAGCTTAAGCTTAGGGGGGAAATCGAACTCCATCTGGAAGCTCTCTTACAATCTGGCAACACTGAAGCGCTCACTCATTAAATACCCAAGAGAGCTTCCAGATAAAGCTCAATTTCCCCCTAGAATTCCTTCCTAATTATTGAACTTTAAAATATTAAAAATAACTACGTATAGGATTAGCTTGGCATTAAAGAATTGCAGTGTCGTAAAGGAGGAAGGTTAGTCACCTTTGTTTTATGCAATACAAATTCATAAAAACACGAATTGAAACTAAAATATTTAAAAATTGTAAAAAAGTATTCCTCCTTAAATACAAAAGCTTTTTAATAAAAAAAAAATAAAAAACGAAAGAAGACTTAAGGGGGCTGGCGCCCTGGCATTCTGCCAGTCTTGCCTCCCTATTACGCCCATTTTGATCTAAGACTAAAGATGAATTGGTATCTTTTTTTTAAATGGCGCAGTCCCTTGGATACTGTACTGTAAGCCAGAACCGGAATAAATGTTATATTCACAGGGTGTTCTCAAAGTTAATTAATAGAAAACTTTTCTTACAACCGATAATAAAAAGATGGTTACCTTTGGATCCTACAGCCCATGCCACAAGCGGTGTCAAACATTTTTCCCACTCAATGGGCATATCGTTGTAGCAAAGTTGTCCATCCTCGTTCGCGAATTTATCCCACATTTTCATGTTTGCGCCCTGTTCCAGTTGGCATTCGTGCATTATCATGTGATGCACCATTTTTGTATGGTTTTTGCCGATGGTGGGTTCGAATCCAGTGATGTGGTGCTTGGAGTTAAGGGTGGGAGCTTTGAAAACTTTGCACCAGTAGATTGTGTTCATGTTGTCGTTTACTTTGAACTGAAATTAAGTAAATAACATATTTATAATATTTTTATCTATTTATTATAATTTTTATATGTAGGACCTACATATAAAAACAAATGAAAACTGGCAAACTTTCAAAATATAATGAATTTCATTTGATCAATTTATTATAAATTATAACGTTTTAATTTTTTCTGACTAAGTAAAAAAATGCACATATTTATTTATATTTAAATATACAGTGTGGCCCATTTGTTTGAGACTCACCTCTGTAAAATCTTTATTTTATTGTGCGATTTTATCCGGATTTGTTTGTAATTTTATTTCAATGTTTTTTTCATAAATTGACAAAATAATTTTTTTTTCTTAAAATTTTTCAATAAAATGTAGTATAGGGTAGATTTGAGGGGTGGTGAATACAGTGCCGTGCTTAGATTTTGTTTTGCTAATATGAATTCTTAAAAATTTACTCTTAAAAACTGACATAGTAGGCCTTGTATTTTGTACTAATATGGCATCTTTTGCTCCAAAAATACACTTTAAAACAAATCCGGTTAAAATCGCACAATAAATTAAGATTTTACAGGGGTGAGTCGCAAACAAATGGGTCAAATTGTATAATAGATGTTCAAAAACTAAACCAAAATAAGAAAACTGCAGAGGGATGATTTTATATTGGTTCAACCAAGTTAGAGCTCTTGGAATATGATAATTTACCAATGTTTCAATATTAAAAAAACATCTTCATAGAGCTCTAACTCCTTTAGGAAGCATTTTTGAATTCTTATTTTATTTGATTTTGGTTAAATCGGTCTTTAATTATTTTTAGAATTTGTCATCTTTGTTTGACGGTTAAGTTTTTAGACACACTAACTATCAAAACACTTTTTTTATATATTAAATAACTCTTTACTGAACATTCCCGAGTCAAAATTAAGATCGTAATTTAAACCTTAAGTCTGACAATTTCCGTCTTAAACGGTTTTATATTCGTAAGTAATATCATAAGGGCATTTAATTTTTCCGAAAAGAATCGAAAAAACACGTTGCTAAGTAATATTTTAACAAAAAGCATGAGTGCTGGTGGCAACAAAAATCCGAGTCGAAGAGGAGGATTTTTGCACCTGCACGAATGCATTTTGTTTAAAAAATATTACTTAGCATTGTGTTTTTTCGATTTTTTTCACAGGAAAAATTAGATGCCCGAATGGTATTTGACAAGACTATTTCATGAGTAACAGTTAACAATTAAAATATAAATTGCAATTTTTGGTGACAACAGCTGTCAAGTTTTGCCGCGGGTAAACTCGAATAAACTGCTGACAGGTGCTGTCACACAGTTTTTTCACCTAGAAACCATTTGTAATTCAAAATTGCGCGTTTGTGATTGGTGGAAATTAAGACGAGGGAAATAGTCGCCTAAAGATAACCAACTTATGACCTTAAACATGGCAGATAAGTCCATTTTCCCGATTTTTCGGTTCTAATTACGTTTAAATTTAAACCAAAATTTTTAGTAGAGGTTTAAATCGGTTTAAATCGGTTTAAATCGGTTCAAATGAAGATTAATTCGGTTGTTCTAGTGCATGCTAAATTGGAGTAAACAGACTGAACAGGTTTTAAATCAGTTTTGGTAGGTCAAAGTAGGTTTAAATTACGATTTAAATTTTGACTCGGGAGGCATTTTACATAATGTTTAAAACAAAATTTACATCTCGATGTTTTTTTACTTGTTTAAAAAGTGCAATAATAAAATGTATTTTAACAAAAAAATTGGTATTAAGGTAGGTAGTATTTTGGTCACCAGTAATAATAAGACACGAGCGTAGCTTACAAAATAATGTTATAATGTAAATAATGTTAAAAATAAAAAAATGCATTAAAAAATTGTATCTAGGAAGCAAACTAAAATAAAAACTACAACATCCTGTAAATAACCATATATCTATAATTTTTTATGATTTTCAATTTCTTTCATTTAAACCAAACAATTAGTTATATTAGTAATATTACTAATAACTTTTTTATGATTTTCATCTGTATCAAGTGTAATTAATTATTATTTGATTATTATCGTTAGCTTAATAACGAAGTTTTGTTTTTCTCACAAACAATTTCTTCTTAACATCTGTCCATTTGAAAACATTGAAAACACCTTTTGGCGCATCTGCCTACCAGTTTAATTTGACCAGGTAGGTAGGTAAAAACTACGCAACATAATGCTGGCTGCCCCATATTACAAGTATTACAAGTATTCTAAAGTAAAGTTTATATTTACCAACCTCTAAATTTAATAAAATTTTGAACATTATCCGATTGTTTTGTAAAAATTTAATAATACCCCACTGAAAATAAATTGAATTTTATTTATCGCCTGGCCACGGGATGAAAATGTGCTGCGGAATAAATAATGGTTCAAAAAATAATTTAATATATCCTTAGTTAAATGTTGGCTTTTTGCTAATAAATAGTTTTATAATATCCCTAACAGACAGGATGTTCACATCATTAGATAAAGTGGCAAATTAAATAAATAAATCAAAGAAAAATTACAACATAAGCAATTCTAATTATCTTGCGCCTTTTTAAATTTAAGACACTTTGTGTTTACAAGTAATTAATTTTGGGCTTTTCATTGTTATTTTCACAAAATATACATTCTAAAAAATATACTCTTTACATTTATGTACCAGGGTAAAAAATTTATTTCTGGCACAAAACCAAAACAGTGGAATCCGGTAAATACATTGTCAAATATAAATAAAGTTTCTATGCGTTCTGCATGTAAACTAGTTTTGATTCTACATTTTGAATTTTAACTACAAAATTTATTATGTAAGGCATGCATATGTTTACATGTGAAGTGTTCATAGTTGATATTTTGGACTTCTTTTATGTTTTATATTAAATCAGAATGCTGATTAAAATAAGGGTTGTTTTAATGTAAATACGTTGGTTACATTTTACGCTTTTTTTACATTTTAAATATGGACCTTTTGGTATAAAAATTAATTTAATGAATTATTAAAATTATAATAAAATAATAAAGTATAATGTAGTACCTACTCGTAATGTAAAATTTCCTATCGTGATATTCTTCGCAATTTTTATGGAAAATATGTTTTCCTTAAATTCGTGTTTTTATAATTTTCTTATTTATTAAAATATTCAATTTTATTTTTTGATTTTGTTACTTATAATAAATATTTTCAATCAATATTTTTTAAATAGTTCAATTTTTTAAATTTGACATTTTAATATTCTTGTTCTATTTTTATACCATAATAAGCACAGTACGCCATGTATATATAATATATAATTTGATTTTTTCTTGAAAATAGAAATAGAAAAAAATATAAAGAACTCATGACATAAGACATGTAAATGGGTGATTCTAAAAAAGTTGGACAACTTGATGTCATCAGTCAATAGATTAGGTATTTTAATATTTTTTGTAAATATTTTAGTATATTACAAAAGATCCAGGTCCACTTGTCCACCCAATTTTAATTTATTTTTTCAAAAGTACGTTTGTAGAAAAACATAATAAATATTCAAAACATCAGTACCTTGGCGTGTCACAACTCCTGAATCAAATATTTGAGTGGTTTTATTTTAAAATATATTCAATTTATCTTAAATTTTTCAATTTCACTACAAACTATAAAACATTAAATAATGTATTTTTCATATTTTATCATAGATTCGAATAATAGCAATTTTTTAAAAATTGATAATCTTTGTAGTCACTTTTACCCGTCAGTTCTGTGTACAATGTTAAAAATCGAAATTCCTGCGAAATATTGAAGTTTAAACGTCAAGTCCTCGTTTTAACTCAAGTGTTGGTAAAAAATTACCTACAGAGCCCGCCATTTGCACGACAGTCATCTTGAAAACAAGGCAAGCGGCGAAGTTGTGGTAAATGCACGTATAGTTCCAGTCAAAATTTCAGTACTGTGGTGAGTAGTTATTTTCTTACGTATATATATTTCATTGTAATTTATATAAGGAGGTATGTGATTTGTTGATAAGTAGCATCCACTAATAAAAAATATCAGTAAAATACTTAATTACGATTACAATCTCAAATTTGTATCCCATTCATCAGTACCGTGTCGTCAGTTCCATGTTCGATGTTCGGTTATCTTTTTTTCGCAAACTTTAATTTAAATTCTGCTTGCGCAGAACTTGTTTATTTAATGTCATTATAAACTGATATAAATTTGGTGTGGGTCCCATATCTAATAATTGAGATATCGGTATACCCAAAATCCACCAGCCGCCACTGATGTGTGGTATTATTTAATTTTAAGATATTTAATGTATAATATGCTCAAAGTTGTAATAAATCTCTTATATTTTTCAATAAATTATGTATTTAATTAGTACCCTGGTATACTCGTCACTTCCCTTGCATTCAAATTTAGAAAACACAGATATTTTAGAAAATGTTTGAAAAAGTGACTGGCCCGGTCTGGAACAGTATATTTATTATATTATCTATGTTCTCATAACAAAATACTGTTTAATTTTCACTTATAATACCACAAGAGCTTCAAAATTATCGGGTATTTTTCCCGATAGGTTCGTTGCAAACAAATGAAGGAGTCAAGTTTTTCAGGTTAAAAAATCACGAGCGCGAAGCGCGAGTGATTTTTCCTGAAAAACTTGACGACTTTATTTGTTTGCAGGGAACCTTGAGGGAAATGCCAGATAATTTTGAAGCTCGTGTGGTATTCGGGGGATTATTTTTCCGTCCCAAATGTCGGCCAATAGAATTGCACCATGTACAGTTAACAAATAAGAATTTCATAATGAATAAAACAACATTTAATTAAGATTTAATTTGTTTTTTATATATAGCAACTACCAGAGAAAATTTTCAAAAAATTATCGCTGTAATTCGCTGTAGGTTCCCTCAACAACAATGCCTCAACAATGTCCCAACAATACAGAGAACTGTCAAAAAAAATAATCTCCGAAAACTATATAAACAAAATGAGGTCAAAAGTTGCCCAACTTTTGTAGAATCACCCAAATATAATTTATAATTTGATTTTTTCTTAAAAATAGGAATAGAAAAAATTATATGCCATAAGACAATTTCTCGCACCCGTCCATTGGAAAATAGGTATTATCGATAGGACGCCTCTTAGATCGGTATATTACTGTTGGAAATACCACGTTGCAATGCAACGGTTGCATTGACAATGGTTTCATTGCATTGAAAACGGTTTGTTTGTATCGTATACCAAAAACGTTAGTAATCAGCGAACCAGTTTTTTGTTTACGTTTCTAGGGGAGCCCCCAAATACAAAAAAAGTCTTTCACAGACTAATAAAAATAAAGCTGAAATTTCCATGTTTAGGAAGAGGCATTTGGAATTAGTGGCCTCCGAACGCATGTAAAATAATTACATACATATTATTAGGGCATATTAAAAATATGGCAATGACAAATCTACTGATTTTATTTCGTGAACAAATTTAATATAAGGTATTAAACGTCTTTTCTTTAATAATATTTTTTTTAATAAGAGAAACTGAGTCTAAGCAGACTTAGGGGCCCCATTTTATTTTGCCACGATGGTTTTAGTCCGCCACTGGATTTCTCCTTATTCTATGGTGATATTTAAGAAGAAGAAGAAGGTATTTTTATTATAACAGCAATATGTACACATAGTTATTTTAATTTTTTTATAAAAAATTTTGTTAATTTTTAAGCACTCCTGAACTATTTTTGCTTTTTACTAATTTTTTTAAGTTTATTCTCTGTCTTTTTCCTGAAAAAATAAATTTCCTGACATTTTTCGGTTTTACGGTTTTTTTCAGAAAATTGCCACTTCCATAGAAAAAGAGCAGAAAAGGAAATTATAAAAAGACATAATTTAATTTTAATAATAATTTAATGTTGTATACTGATATTAACCCATTAATATCAACTTTTTTATATTTTTAAGAAATACTTTTTCTCTTTTATTTTTGTTTTTATTTAAATCAGTATATGTATATTTTTACTTTTTTAAAGAAAATTAATAATTTTTAAGGACGTTTTAAAAATAAAGAGTTAATTAAGGTTATTTTTTTACAAAAACTGTCAATTATGGTGACCATAGAAAAACACCGAATAAAACAAATTAAAATATTTAATAACTCAAAAACAACACGGAGAAAAAAAGTAACCATTAATGAGCAATTCACTTAAAATACTATTCAAAATCATATGTGGCAAAATGCCTGTTTTTTTATTTAATTTTTATTCATATTTAAATTTTTCACCTACATTTACAAAATTTTAAAATTTATTTATTATTATTTTTATTATTAATTTATTTGATAATATATTTAATGGTTAAATCATAAAAATAAAAATACACATGCAAATAATCTTTGTTTGCAGTTTATATTAGCAAAAGTTGTTTTTTTACTCTACTTACATTTTTCAACGTAACATCCCAGTGCCTGGTATTTCCGGTGGGCATTGTTTGCAAAGGTGAAGGTGCCAACAAGTGTAAACTCTGTACGCCTCTGTTTTCGCCATGGTAAATAAAACCGTCCCTCTCCGGAGGATCCACATCGTGTAGTGCCCATATTATTCTGACTGTATCGCTCTATAACATATAAATTAATCATGTTATGTATCAACAATTACTTTTATTTCCCATCATAATTTTAAAAATAAAGTTGAAATTTTATGTGCTTAAATTAAAAATATCCTAAAATTGGCTTGAAACTATATTAATTAATTGTCATTAACCGTTCTTAAAACGGTCTTAAAATCATATTTAAAAATTTCCCAAACCAGTATTTCTTCCTTTTAAAGATTAAAAATATTCTAAAACAAATTGTTAGAGAATCGGAGTATAAGCCGCATAAGGGGCCTAAAGCGGGGGGGGGGGGCGTGTGATTAATTGCAACAAAATTTTTGACGCTTGTTGCTTATTGTCATGCAGCAATTTGTTACTTAGAAAGTTTTGTTTAATAGTAAATTATGACTTTCATATGGTCAAACATTTAATGGTCGAATTGCCTTTCTAACAAAAACACATTATGCATACTGGCTGAAATAATTTCAGTGAAATTAAAAAGATTAAATTCTACTTGCTGGTCTGGCAGCAAACCGACGTACCGCGTTTACTGCAGTAAAGCTTATGCAGATATATTGAAATCACTAACTGAAATTATTTAAAGTTTAAAGAAAGATGAAGGGACGATGCTATGCAGATAAGAAAAATCACGTAAAAATTTAAATTTGTGTTTCAATGCATTATTTTCCCCAAAATGTTAATTGACATCACAGTATTAAAGGTCTTAAGCAGAAGTACAATTTTTTAAATAATAAAAATACTAAATAAAACTGGCATAAGCTAAAAAACACGATTCCAAGTTAAAAAAAATGAACTGTAAATTATTTTGTAAAATAATCAGATTATTATTTTGTAATAAAACAAAAATAAATGGTTTAGCAAAATAAATATAGCATGTTTATTTTAATAATATTTTACAATTTGATTGTAAATTTAAATACATAAAGTTTAACCATAAAACTTTTACCTAAACTTTCGATTATATAAAGAAGTAGTAACTCTCGATAAATCTTGAGTTTTTAATCTTTAATTTAAATTTTAGATCGTTACGATTTACATTCAATATTTTGCGTAGACATGCCCAAGATTTAACTTGTATAAGTATTTGAGATTTAAATGAAAACTTTATAATCGAATTGCAATATATTTTTTTGGATAAACATCTCTTTTTAATTTAAATATAAATATTTTTTATAGCGTGATAAAAATATATTTTATAAAAAATTAATTTAATCAGTATTCTGCCGTGCTTAATGAAAACGCCGTAACCAACAATTGTGCGATTTTTGTTTTACGGCATTTTCTACTAGAACAATTTATCCTGCGTCTATCCCCGGTACTCAAAAAACCGTATATATATAGATACGGTTTTTTGAGTACCGGGGATAGACGCAGGATGAATTTTTCTAGTAGAAAATGCCGTAAAACAAAAATCGCACAATTGTTGGTAGGGTTGCCAACTGTCCAGAATTTGGGTGGACGTCCACCTTTTCGGCTCATTTGTCCAGCGTCCAGTCAATACCTTTGGCTGGACATAAAATGTTCATAATTTTCACGTTGGCACATTTTTCAATTTTTTCGAAGGATTTTTTCCACAAATTCTTAATCAACTTCGAATTAAACTTAAACAGAGAATTGAAGATGAGTTTTTAGGGTTAATATGCTCAAATGCGATTAAAAATCTTGCAAGAGCTTGTCAACAGAATATAAAGGCTACATCCTCAAATTTTACCAAGACGCCCTTAGCTATCTAGAATCAAAATTTGATTTCTCAGAAAATAATATGCTATCAAAATTTTATCTTTTTTCCCTAAGTAAACCAATAAAGTTTAATGATTTATCGAGTATTGTTATAGAGTCTGGTCTAAGCGATCAAATTGATTTGGATGCATTATACGAAGAATTTTGTGAAATGAAACCAGCGCTAGAGTTGGCATATTCGTCTAATTTACCTATATTAGATAAATGGAACTCAATTTTTAAAGAAAATAACTTCAAATATATTCTTAAAATTGTGCAATTTGTTTTTTCGCTTTTTGGTTTTAACGCAGACGCAGAAAGGGTTTTTTCAATGTGTTCAGCTTTGTGGTGAGATGATCGAAATAAATTTACGCTTGAGCATGTTAAAGCTGAACTCCAAATAAAAATTAATTTTGACAAAACCTGCAAAGAGTTTTGTTCGTATATAAAGGACAATAAAAAAATATTATTGGATTGCAAATCCGAAAAAAATATTCTTTTAAAAATAAAAATTAGAAATTAGTTTTTCCTATAGGTACCTATTTTCTATTATCTAGAGATTTGTTAATTTATAAAGCAATATGTTTATGTTTGAAAGTTACCCATTTAATACATATATTTCATGTTTGTTGTCTTAAAGTAAGATTTTTTACTAGAATAAGTATTTTTTTATTTACATTGAACTATTGAACTAAGTGTTTAATCTATATGGCGAGTTCTGTATATTATTTATGTGTTTTCCCAAGTAAAAAAAATTTCAAATAAAATATGTCCATAATTTTGTACCGGTGTCCAGAATTTTTAATCACCTTGCCCAGAAAATCCCAAAATAAAAGTTGGCAACCCTAATTGTTGGTTACGGCGTTTTCATTAAGCACGGCAGTATTGCTTATTTTACTTTTTGCAAATTAGTTAAGTATACCTTATAGCATTTATATCTTAAAATTTTTAAATTAGATTTAGTTAAAATTAATTAAATTATTTTGTAAGGTTATTTGGAGTAAGAAGCTTAACCGATATTTTGCCGTTGAAAATAAAGTTCATTTTTTTATCTGGACTCGTGTTTTTTTGTTAGGTTCTAAGGTTAGGTTGGTGGCTTATGCCAGTTTGACTTAGTATTTTTATAGTATTTAAAAATGGTACTTCTGCTAAAGAATTTAATTAAATACTTTGACACTCAAATTGACAATAATATTTATTATTGATAATTTACTTGTCAATTATAAATAAAAAGATAATTATGCCAAAAATAATAGCAACGAATTCGAATGTAAAAGCCCTTTTGAGGGCAAAACTTCATTTTGATGAAATTATGCCAAATGCAACAATGGAAGAAAAAGTACGGTTCCAGTACACAATAGCACACTCTCAAAATCCAATTTTTATTGGAAATTTTCGACACAAATGGATATAAAACCACATTTTAAGCATATTTAGGTGCGGAAAAACCAAACTTTCACTAAAATATATGTTTATAGTGTTAAATTCAACAAACCTTGCTTAAAACTGTCACCTTTTCTATGTACAGCACTGAATTTTAAACTGTCACAATTTAAAATGACAGAATTAGTGTTTTAAGGTTGGTTATCATGTATTTCAATGTTGTCAGGTTTAAAATTGGCAAAAGTATTACATTATTTTGTAATTGAAAATGTATATTGTATCAAAATAAATTCCGAAATATGCTAAACATTAAAGGAAATATTGAAATTACGGAAGTATGAGCAAAATAAGTATAGGAATAATAATATAATATTATCTTAATTAACGGTACCTATGTAGGCAACCCAGATAACAACATATTTAAATTTATTATATTATCATTTAACTAAATACTTTAAATAATTTTAATTTAAATACTTATACATGTAATTATTAAAATAAATTATTTATATTAGGTATTGTATTAATTTTTGCACTTAATTTAATTTCATAATTTGAAAATTTTGTTTTTAAACAAAATTTGTTATTATTGCAGTTGTCATTTAATTGATATAGGTACCTTTTAAGTAGTGTAAATTTATTTGTGCTATTTGCTACTTATTTCAAAATGAATATTCAAAACATTAATAATGTTTATAAGCTTACATCTAAGCCAGATGGAGAGTTAATAACTGCATTACAGCAGGCTGGACTTGTAAAAGCCCAGTTACGCTGCAAGGTGAGGAACTGTACTAGGATTTGCATTTTAAGACCCAGAGCTGGAGTATATATATATAACCTGGACCAAGCCTTTTTAATAATAATAATAATAATAATAATAATAATAATAATAATAATAATAATCGTGGGCGAAATATCCCTAATATACCGATAGGTTTGAACAATCCGCCCACTACGAGTACCCATAATTTAGGCGACGGGGTCATTCCTGACCTCGCAAGCCCAATACCACATAATGTGGATTACGTCTGGGAGTTTTTGTTTGACCAAGCCCGGCTCGCTTCGATCGGCATTTATTTAATTTGATTACGTTTATAAAGAGCCTAGGCGGGCTTGGTCAGTGCCTGAGCCCAATTTCGCGCGCGCAAAATTGGGCTCAGGCACTGACCAAGCCCGCCTCGCTTCGCTCGGCATTTATAATAAATGATTTATTAAATTTAATTACGTTTACCAAGAGCCTAGGCGGGCTTGGTCAGTGCCTGAGCCCAATTTTGCGCGCGCGAAATTGGGCTCAGGCACTGACCAAGCCCGCCTCGCTTCGCTCGGCATTTATTTAATTTAATTACGTTTACCAAGAGCCTAGGCGGGCTTGGTCAGTGCCTGAGCCCAATTTTGCGCGCGCAAAATTGGGCTCAGGCACTGACCAAGCCCGCCTCGCTTCGCTCGGCATTTATAATAAATGATTTATTAAATTTAATTACGTTTACAAAGAGCCTAGGCGGGCTTGGTCAGTGCCTGAGCCCAATTTTGCGCGCGCGAAATTGGGCTCAGGCACTGACCAAGCCCGCCTCGCTTCGCTCGGCATTTATTTAATTTAATTACGTTTACAAAGAGCCTAGGCGGGCTTGGTCAGTGCCTGAGCACAATTTTGCGAGCGCGAATTTGGACTCAGGGACTGACCAAGCCCGCCTCGCTTCGCTCGGCATTTATAATAAATGATTTATTAAATTTAATTACGTTTACAAAGAGCCTAGGCGGGCTTGGTCAGTACCTTAGCCCAATTAAACGCGCTCCAAATCGGGCTCAGGCACTAAACAAGTCCGCCCCGCTTCGCTCGGCATTTATTTAATATGATTACGTGTGCCAATACTTTGTAAAAACTGATAGACTTTACAAGTTGCCTAGGCGGGCTTGATCTGTGCCTAAGCACATTTCATATAAGTTTTTGATATTGAATTAATTTTATTTTTAATAACAAATATCTTAGTAACAACAAGTCACATGAAAAAACTTTATTTGGCTTTTTGGTTTATCCTTACAAGCTCTTCATATTAAACCTTAAAAAAATTAACATTTTTTAATTTTGCAAAATCTACAATTGTATTTTTTTTGCGCACCATGTTTGACAAAATAGGAGTTTCTCATTTTGAATGGTATTTATATAACAAGCAAAAGAAATTATGAAGAGTGACTTTTCCTCGAAAAATTGAAAATAAATATTTTTACAAGTATAGTTAAGTGCATCCGTGGACACACTGTATATAAATATATATATCATATATAGAATTAAAACGGCCATTTCAATCACGCGGACGGAACAAATCACAAAACTTTTATAAAAAAATTGAAGGTATTTATTATATATTATTTTGGCATCAAAATTGTCAAAAAAAATGTTTTATATAAGGCTATAAATTAAATAAAAGAAATGCAAGAAATATTTTATAAAACGAGATAATTTTTTTAATAATGTACAGTCGTGGATGGAACAAAAAAATATTTCATGTATTAAAGTTCTCTAAAAAATAATAATAATAATAAAATACTTTATTTTCATCCCAAGAAACATACAGTTTAATAGAGGGACACCTCTAATCATACAATTTAATAAATATTTTTTAATTCTTAATACATTTCTTAAATCTAAATTAATTTTACTTTATTAATACATTTTAATTCTAAATAGGAACATATCATTTAAATATAATATCACAGAAAAAAGAAAAAATATCACGATATATCATTGTTTATTCAATAAAATTCGCCACACAAGACGACATATGCTTTTTAAATTTAAATCCTTTAAGTTCTTTTATATTGTTTGGTAATTTGTTATAAACAGATGCTCCCTTAAACAGTATAGAGTTTTTACCGAATTCTGAAAATACTCGAAAAAAAGGTATAAAATGTATGTATGTATGTAATTAGGAATAATTTCATGTAATCTGGGTTGCATAATAAATTTCCCCAAACAGCGTAAAAATTTTACATCTGGCAACATTGCGATGAATTTCTTTGAATCTGACATTTCTTGACAGTTCTTGTCAAAAAATCTGTCAAAAAAAGCATTTTCAAACTTAATTTTCTCAAAAACTAGTGAAAAACCCGCAATTTTTATTTATGAAATTTACTATTTAAAACGCCCTTTTTCAAATGGTAAATTTTTTTGTTGGAAATTCAGAGTGTGCTATAGTGTTCTGGACCCAAAAGTACATCGCCTTAAGGACATTTTTGGAGTAAAAAAGTAACGTTTTTGGTTTTACAAATATTAAATCACACATAAAATACCCATTAACCATTGGAGTCCAATGATTGGACAACATTCACGTGTGTTACCTATTTAATTACTTTTTTATATAATTTTACTCATCTACGCACCACCAAAGCCAAATTAATTGCATTTTTAACTACGAATTCAACTTGACAACCGTTTAATGTTACCTACAATAATTTAAACATAACCACAATTACATTATAATTAGATTTATAACTAGCTTGGTTTGTTTTAATCAATGCGACCAATTTTGGTTCTTTATTTACCAACCAAAACCCTAAATTTGCAACGTTGCCGCAGTCCAGATAAAAAAATGAACTTTACGTAAAGGGTTGTTTTTGTTGCTAAGCAAAAATATGTTAACTACGATATAAAGTCTTAAAGGTTGACATATTTTTGCTTAGCACAAACAAGATTCGCCTTTACAAATTTTTAATATTATATTTGATAATGATGGAAAATAATTGAAAATTGCAAAAATACAACATACAAAATTTCATTTTTTCTAAAATTTCCTTTAGTAGCTATTTAAATGGAGATAGTTTGGGTCGAATAATCAATAAACCATGTTTTTAATTAAATTCAATTCATTAAATTAAATTCAATACTCACATTAAGTACATAATCATTAGGATCACAAGTGTCCAGCACACGTCTAAATTCAATGACAGTGTGCGTATCATTCTGAATGCCCCTCATCAGTGTGTAATTGTCGACCTCGTCCCTGACAGGAGCGCTTCCTTGGCTTTTAGGAACACCGTGACAATCCTGCAACAAAATAAATAATTGGCATTGCTATATATTTACTAATTATTTTTAAATAATTCATAAAAAATATAAAATAATATTCAATACGTTTTTCTAGTGTAAGTAGATGTCTGGTTAGAATATTACAAAGATGAAAGACTTTAAAGTAGTCTATCTGATATGATCTTATGCACTTATAAGATTATACAATGCCCGACAAAAAGAAGTAATGTTATCTTTCTGGGTTAAAATGTTATTTTTACAAAACAATTGGAGCATTAAATTTCCAATTAAAAGATTTAACACACAAGCAACTTTTATTATTGTTAATCAATACCTAGTTAGTTTGGGTCAGGAATGAACAAAAATGGCGCCGTAAGAATGTATATCCTAATGATATTTATTAATTTTTAAAAAATAGATTTGTAAAATTATAAAAATTTGCTTAATTTTATCCATTGTTTTTACCCGGGAGCTGTTACGCATATATATTACCTATAGGTAGAATCATTTACGAAGTGTTAAACCGTTTTAATTAAATTTTTAATTAAGTTTCTCTAATTCCTGAAAACGAAATGTTTGTTTTTTTTTCACTCGTTTTTTGAATAAATATTTAATCAAATGGGGTAGTTCCAACGGGAAATTCTTTTTTTCGTTCTAGAATCTGTAGGGTGTCCCCTTAAAAGCCAATTGGAACTCAAAAGTTGAAAAAAAAATTTCCCATTATTTTTCAAATTCTACAATTTTTACATGTTTTCAACGATTTTGGACCAAAAAAAGAATTTCCCGTTGGAACTACCCCATTTGATTAAATATTTATTTAAAAAACGAGTGGGCCACCTCAAGATGTTGAGTAAAATTTTTTTTTTCTTTTGAGAAATTTCCTTTTTTATAAGGTACAAATTCTACCCCCATGCTAAGAAAAAAAAACAAAAATTTTGTTTTCCACCCACCCTATTACCTATATTATTTAAAAGTAAAATGCTTTAATTTAAACAGTTATTTTTAAGAAAGGACAACTTTGGTGATATGTTAATAGCCTTGTGTGGTGTTAAAATAATTCTTCGTATTTTTAGCAAACAATCTTTATTTTTGTTGTTTAAAAGATTTTTCACAATTTTAGATATATGGTCATTCCAAAAGTATTGGACGTATCAATTAAAGTTTTGTTCATAAAATAACCCATTTATTATTTAAAAACACCATATATTATATAAACTCATTAAAGATTTATAAAAAGTTTAAACATTTAAACTTTCAGCATATTTAAATTAAACAAATAAATCACACCAAGTAACGGTCATAAAATTAAATTCTTGTTAAAAATGATTAAATAGTGGTTTAAATATTAATTTTTTTATTAAAAACTGTCAGAAGTTAACATTTCAACCTTTTTATAATACAATTTTTAGTAAATGTGGTGAAAATATAAATAATAAATATTAAGTTTAATGTTTTCATTTATATTTAATTAATTAATTTTCCAAATTTGTTCTTTACTTTTCAAGTATAAATATTAGTTAAAATGTATATTTAAACTGGTTTTATGAATAACTTTAATTAAATTGGCAATAAAAGTGTTTTTCTATTAAATGTAATGAATAACTTTTTAACGTATCTACGTAGTAGGTAATAAGTTTATTAATTTTATTTAATTCGCCTTTTTTAAATTTTAATATCAAAAGAATTTGGTTTTAGCTCGAGAGTTTTAAACATAATATCAATATTTTATTCTTATTTGAATAGTAAAATTCCCATTCAGTTATGCATTACAATTCCTCAGAGGCATTTAGTTTTTTCAAACGGGTGACATGAAATGTATACATATACCTATATACCTATAGGTATTACCTCGGCATAAGTACCGTATCCTTTATAAATTAAGATTTAACTCACGTTTAAGTAAGACTTAAATCGCAGAAAATTAAATTAACCCGAATTTTTATGCTCCGCATTTTAAATCCGGATTTGTACGATTCTTTAGTTATATAACATGAAAAAGTTTTCATTATTGTAAACGAGTTTAAATTGTTTTAATACTAATTGAGGAAACGTCTATCAAGCACTGTATCTTTACGTATCCTAAAATGATTAATAGGTGTTTTTAAGTTAATAGTGACCATAACATAAAAACCTTGGTATATCATTAATAATATAATATTTCATACATAACACTCAGTGTTGAGTTAAATGGATAAGCTATTACTATTTCATACAGACCTGTCACTTTTCACACAGAAATGTCACTTTACATTTGTGTTTTGCCATGCCAATGAAAAGATTAATTTTCTAAGCAATGATGCCAATACGAAATGTGACTTTTACATAGTGGTCGTAAAAAAAAATAATTCTCTCCAGTTTCTTTATTATTAATTATTATTATAAATGTTCGTTTTTTGTATCGAAAAACAGATAAAACTAACCTTAAAGATAAAATATTGTATGCCATGCGGCCGAGAAGTGGATTTTTATGTTTCGCTCAATTGTAAACTCAAACTTTATGCTCAGCACTAAAATACTAACTTCTTAGCCTAATGACTTATAATAACTATATTAATTATTTCTGTTAAACCTGCACGTGCAATAAAAAATCAAATTATTGAAAAATCTTTTGGTTTTTTTTTGTCATACTTTTATAGTATTTTTCTATTAATTTTATGTTTGTACGTTGGCACACATTTACAACGTTTTTAAATTTTTTCAGTTAGTTCTGTTTACTACTTTCCAATGCGTGTAGTATTAACACTTTTTTCAAATGTCAATATTAAAAAATAGAGATTTTATAACCCTTTATAAATAGGTAGGTTATAATAGGTAGATTATTTGTCTGAAGAACTTTAAGCAGTAAAATTATGAGTTTATAAAAAATATATGACTAAAGCATTTTTTTAAAGGCATAAAATATATTGTGAAAAATTCACTAAACCAAAAATTGTAACCTTTTGGTATAGGTTCAAGGAACAAATGTGTAATACAAAAAATTTATTAATAATTCTGAATAATTATTATAATATCATAAACTCATGACTTTTATAACCGTCACTGCTTTATAACAAGGGTTTTTTCATGCACCGTATCCGACGAAATACCCCCTGTACATTTTTTGTTGTGTATTATTATATAAAACCAGATGCAGGCAACACCTGCCATCTTAGACACTCGTGCTTTCCGGCCACCATAATGAACTTCCCCTCCCGGTTTAGCGAGAGTCTACATATGCATAGAAATGAATATTAAAGCCGCTTGTCTTGCTCGAAAAATAAATAAAAAATCGGAAGCAGAATCGTCGACATGTTACACCGGATGAATATGGGTCGTTATGGGTGAATTTTAGACCTTATGGTACGATTATACTTATTTGGGTGGTGTAAAAGTACTATTACATTATATATTATCTCATATTTTTGATAATAAAATGTGTATCTTAATATTTTATTTGCATTTACATTTTATGATACTTTTTAATTTTCAAGACAAGACACTTGCTTACTCTTGACATTCCAGACAATACACTTCCTTAGTTTCTTCACAGTAGTTGCTCTTCCAAGATATTCATTCTGAACAATGTAATCTGTTTCATAAATAAAACTTAGTTCAAAAAGTAATTTAGTTTTCAACAATTGTAAAACAAATTTTAAAAACTTATTTATCTATTCGTATAAAAGTATTAAATGTAAAGGTCCCAACACAAATAAAGCCATCTTATCTTGAAAACCTTTATAGCCGTTTCTGAAAACACAAAAAAACACAATTGCTTATTAACATAATCCATATATCACCTTAACACCTGACCGGAAGTGTCAATTTTACGAATTTGTGTTGAATTTTAATTGTCAGGTCAATAAATCGTTCCAAATAGAATTTACTATTTTATTTATATTGCGATTTGTTGATTACATTTTCTTAGTTTTCATTTTAGAACTTTATGTGGTGATAGTTATTGTCTTACATAATGCACAGATTGCATCTTGAAATTTTGCATTCATGGTTAAAATTCTCGGTCACACAAAAGTTTATGGGCAAGATAATTGAATCCAATCATTTTTAATTAGTTTCCTAGTCTGGAATAATTATGAGAACCATTGCATCATTGAATAAAATACTAATAATAATAGTATGCGAGCTTTTTGCACTACCTATCTCACATTGAACAATGAAACTTGTCATTTGTTGGGTTTTAAATGCATAATAAGTACTTACACGTATTTTATTTATAAGTAAATTTAATTACCAATTATTGGTAGCGTTTTGCATTTAATTAGACAAATAAATTATTAAAGAGTTATTTAAAGTTTTTTTTAAGCTTAGAAGCTTAGAAACTTATAACTAAAACGTTTTAATTAAATTGTTTAAATTGTTGTTAAAAACCCTTTTAAATTTTTGAAAGGACTTTTTTTAATATGTGTCTTCAAGAAAGGCATTTGTTTTGAAATGACACACATCTGTGTCATTTAAGTGCGCATTTTATTTCTAAAATCGAGGCATGTCTTATTTCCTCCGGTTCAAGATTTCTGTTTTAGTCTTCTGTTTCGCCTACTTCACTCAGTACCTACACTTTTTCATTGTTGTGTCCGGTTTTTGTGTAGGTCATATCTGACCACCATTTGCCCTGTTAGGAGGCCTGTTTAGTTCCAGGAGCCTTTTTGCTTTTTTTTACAGTTTGGAGGACCTTTTAATAAAGATCCTCGACTGTCTCAGGCTTTGTTGATTCAGCCACTCGTCTTAGAACTGGTTGTTTGTCCGGTTCCTGAGCTTGGCTTTTACCAGAGATAAGGCAACCCCAGATCAGGTTTTGACCCAATATAGGCGGCACTGCTGCCCTCTTTTCCGTTGCTGTTACGTTGCAAAGACCCTATTTTGTGTAAAAAACACACAATGACGTCATAGGGTTTGGGTAATAGACACACAGAAAAAATCTAACATAAATAGTACCAAGAACAGCGCTGTCATTGAATGCATTAAAATTGAAGTAATTTAAATTGTTATTTGCTCAATTAATTACTATTAAACCAAAATAGGGA